CCAGCAACCAAGGCTTGATTCTTCTTTACTTCTCAACACTGTCTCTCCAGCTGCTAGCTAAGCCTTACCAGTATAGTAGAGAAAGCATGCAATACCGGCTCACCAGAAACAGTCATCAGGAGAGTGCACATCATGAAGAAGAGCTAGCTTTCCCTTTCCAGGAGTTAAATTTGTATTTAAATTAATTTCTGACAAAGCCAAACTGAATTCTTTCTTCCTATTTCTTAACACTCAAGGTTGACAGTCTAGTGTACTTTAGAATAAGTCAGATATGAGTTTGAGTTCTTCCCTAAATTTCAGTTTAAGCTCAAAAAGAGAAATAAATGATTTCCTTTTCAGTTTTGTTGTAGTAATTAAGAAATGTATATAGCAGGGAGCCAGTGGCTCATGCCACAACATAAAAAGGACAAACACATTACACATTACCACATAAAATAAGGATGCTAACAGCTCTTCCTATTAGTGTAAGAATACAGTATATTATAATTTTACTTTAACTTCCCCCCCCTCGGTCATGGGGCTTGAACTGTGGACGTGGGCACTGTCCCTGAGGTCTTTAGCTCAAGGCTAGTGCTCTACCACTTTGAGCCACCACTCCCCATTTTCTGGTGGTTAATTGGAGATGAGTCTTATGGACTTGGCTGGCTTTGAACCACGATCCTCAGATCTCAGATTCCTGAGTAGATATGACTACAGGCATGAGCCACTGGCTCCTGGCCACTTTAATTCTTAAAGTAAAATGATGACAACCAGAATGGCTACACAAAAACTGATTTTTCAATGTATTACTGCTTGACTCTAAAGATTGCACAGTTACCTAAGCCTGTCAAGAAGGTAACAGAATGATTGTTTAGGGAAGTAACAAAAAAAGGTGGAAGTTTTCACCAGAGGCTTGTTTGAATGGAGACTCATTGGGAATGTAGAGTCATTCCCAGGAGGGCTTGTGTGCATTGAGCTTTGGGGACTTGAGACCGTCTCCAGGCAGTTGGTTCTAATCGATGGCCATGTGCAGCTTAGGGTCTAAGGAGGCTGGAATGACACAGGCTGCCGACAGAACAGCCCACTGATCTGGGTATGTGTGGACACAGCCTTTGTGAAGGCCTTCACAGACTGTGGGTAAAAAAGTCTGGATTTCTCTTCTGGCCCTCCTGGTCAGCTCCATGTGTGACCACAGGGGGGCACCAGTGCTTTTGCCCTCAAGCCTAAGTACCCTGACCTTGCCCTTTCCAATATGCACGAAAAACTCCTACTCAAACATCTAGATCTTGATCCAATATCCCCTTTTCTTTCAACTCTATTCTCTTACCCAAGGCCTCATTAGTAAGGAGTGACATAATGGAAAGACCAGTTCTATCTCAAACTGATCTGAATTTAAACCTGATGCGAGTACCTAGAAATGGTGTCATCTTAGACAAATTATTCTTCCTGAAGCCGAGGCCCCATTTTTTTTTAAGTGAAAACTCTTCACTCCCTATACTTTGAGAGATCTTCTCTGGCAATGTTGTACTATTATTCTTTTGCCCACCTATGTGTCTCTTTGTGAACTCACTGAGATGAGTAATCTTGTCTTTTCAATTGGTTTGAGACCTTACAAGGTACCTAACTGACTCCATGTCATTTGAATCCATGTCTGGTTTTATAGAGCTAACTCAAGGACCAATAGGATAATTACAGTCCAAGTTCTTCTATAAAGTGCTTTTTGGACATGGCTGTGCCCGTTAGTCTAAATTCCTATAGCTCCTGTGCATACTGCTAGGACAGCTTTTATCACAGCTGGCTCCACAGGTTTCCAGTGATCCTTCCAGCAATCACGGCTTTCACTCCCAAGCCCTCAGGACACATCAAAATGCTCTGCAAATGCCAGCTAATAACGCTATTTCAAGTACCCTCTTGTCTTTTCCATTCTAAAAAACCTGCCTGTGCAGTTTATCCTGAATTTACCCCCAAGGTCCCAGACCCTGAGCTCTGTACAACAATGTCTATTTCTATAGTCCTTGTCCTTGGCTCAAAGTGAGTAGAGTCTCTTAACCCCACTTGCCTAACTCTTCAGAAAGCTGCAGGCCTCCTTTCTTCAATGCTCTTTCTTCTTACTGCGTTCTGTTTTTGGATAAGAAGAGTCTTCTTGTTGATGTATTTGTTATAGAAATTTGGAAAACTTTGGTTTTTATCAATTCGATCCCAAGTAAATCTGGTGATGAAAGCCACCTTGCAAATCAGAAAATAGAGAACAATCCCGATTGTTATGCTAGAGACTTGATAGGCATAGGGAAAAAGAGGGAAAACTGTGATTGGAGGCAGGTGCAACCATGGAGCTGTATTGCAACAGGAGTCAAGTGATGGCTTAAATAGAAACAGCCTGCTCAGCCCCGCTTATGAGAGTACCTGTCTCCATCTCACTAGTCTTAACAGATATTGCTTCATACAAGTGAACCCATGAACTATCTGAAAACCTTATACAAGGACACAAATGGGGAACAAACTGCATTCCAAAAAAATCTCAACCCATTCTTGGAAATCCCCACCCTTTGCTACCTTAAGGCTAAATAATAATCTTCTTCATTACAGTTTTAAGATCATCCCTTTCATTCTTGACTAAACTTCCTTCTACTTTGTTACTTTGTTTCTCATCTGAATTCTTTCTGTAAAGTACCTGGAAACACTAAGTAGACATCTCAATTTGGTTTCTATCTCTGAGACATTCCTAGCCTTCAGTAACTTATAAGGTTATTGACATTCATCAGATAGTTTATGTCAAATATCTACCACTAACCAGATTCAGTTAGGACTTATACAGGACACAAAGTATAATATAGACATTTCCAAGAATTGTAACATCAATAACAGATTAGATGTATCTTTAGTAAGGCCAAAATTTGTGTGGTGTGTTTTTTAATTGCATGTATTAGAAACTATAAGCTACTTACCAATGATTAGAATATAAATTCTAGAGCGAGGCACTGGTGGCTCACACTTGCAATCATCCTAGCTACTCAGAAGGTAGAGATCTGAGGATTGCAGTTTGAAGTCAACCCAGCAATTAACCACCCAAAAGCCTGAAGTGGAGCTTATGGTTCAAGTGGTAGAATACCACCCTTGAGCAAAAAAGCACAAAACACCCAGGCCCTGGGTCTAAGCCCTTGAACTGACACAAAAACAACAAAAAAGTAATTATAAATCCTAGGATAGGACTTGGATGCCTATTTAAAGAGGAGAGTAGCCATGTGGTAAAACCATTAAACAAAGTCCAAGAGAGATAGTAGGAGGATCAGGCTTGGGCTCATTAAGTCACTATTGCTCTTGGAGTTAGACAAGAAAAATAAAATTTTTGAAATTCATCAGGGATGTCAAAACAAGTTTTATCTGCTATCATAATTAGTTTGAAACCTGTAATATTATGTGGAGAAGAATGCTAAGGCCAGCTATAACCTTAACACAACATGTACCAAGCTACAGTTGTTAGGGCAGCAAGATAAAAGGAAAAGAGAAATGAGAGAAAACAGAATGAGAGGAGGTAAAAAGTTATTCTCTAATACAGCAATAAGATACTAATATTGCCTCTTTAAGAGATCAAAAAGCTGTATGAGCCATAGCTAACATTCATACTTAATAGTAAAAGAGTGAATTCTTGATCCTTAAGATCAAAAACATATATTGTCCAAAAAAGTTACTTATTACCTGATTAATGAAATGGTAACCTCTCTGTATAACACTTTAATAACAATAAAAGTATATTTAAAAAAGATCAAAAGCAAGACAAAGCATGGGCAAAATATCAGAGTAAACATTTCCCAAGGAGAATACAGTACTAAGCACAAGATGTTCAACATCAATAATCATTAGAAAAATGCAAATCAAAACCGCAATGAGATACCAAGTAAGATGGATAAAGTAAAATTGTTACAAGTGTCTGTCAGTGAGGATGTAAAGAAATTAGAATGCTCATACATTGCTTGGTTTGAAATGTGAAATTGTGCAACCACTTCAGAAAAAAAAAACCCAAAACCCTAGCAGCTCTTTAGAATGCTGAGGATAGTCATATTGTTTCAGGGATCAACAATTTTACTGAAGTATAAATAAATAGATGTCACATAAAAACTTAGACACACATATTCACAGGAACATTAGCCATAATGGCTAAACATTGTGAGCATCCCAAACCTCTGCCAACTGATGAATGGACATATTAAATGTAATATAACCATACCATGGGATATTACATGCCTTTAGAAATACATGAAGTACTTACAAATAGGACAACATAAATGCAACATGAAAATGCTATGTAAAGTAGGATAACAGTCATAAAAGCCAACAGAATATATGAGTCCATTAATACTAAATACCCATGTCAAATCTGTTAACAACTAGATGAGTGGTTGTCAATAGATTGAGATGGGAGAGGGGTGGGAGGTTGCAGAGAATGGAATTAATTGTCCGTTGATGAAGAGTTCCATTATGGAGTGATAAAATGCTCTCAAACTGATTGGGGTGTGTTTGTACAATTCTAAGTTTGAGTGAGTTGTAGTTACATAAATTATATCTCATTAAAGCTATTATTTCAATGCATGTACATTGTAAATGAATTTTAATTTTGATGTCTGTCACAACAATCCATATATTCACTTAAGTGATCCATTGTATGTGTTCACAACTACTCTCTTTATAATGTGTAACAATAGATAGCTTTGATGAGTCCAACCTTTTAGAACATTCATTTGAAATAAAAATTAAAACCACTTAAACCATACATACTGTCTTCTGCATTGTTGTCATTACATCATCTCATTAACATTGTTTCTGTTCGCCACTAGCTTTACTCCTAATATTTACCATATTTATAATCAATTTACTTAATCAGAAATGACATAATTACTTTTAGCGATCCACTTATGACAGTGCGGTGGCCCCATAATTTGTTCGCTACTAAAAGTCTCAATGTTCATCATCACAGAATCCATGGCAACTGAGAGAACTGATTGCTTCCATTATGTGGTACCTACCCCTTTGGAATCAATCACTCCAGGCTTCGCATTAAACTTCACTGTCTTCAATCGGGCACGCTCTTTTCTTTCCACCCTAAAGAAAATGGAAAATAAAAGGTCTGTTATCTGACAAGGCATTCACAATGGATTTCCTTATTAAGTAAAGAAGTCTTCCACCTATCCTTATAGCTTGAAATAAAGTGAAACTGTTTTTCTTCTTTGATTTTTAGCATAAAAATTTTGGTGTACTATCTTTAAGCTTCTAATATAGCCCTTGAATTTTTTGTTACATGTACTGAAAGTTACAATCATTGAAAGGAGCGAGGAGAAAAGGAAGAAAATGCACAGCATTTGCTATTAAAGTGCTTAAGTCAATCAAAATCTATTTCAAGAAATCATAGAAACCAACAAATGAAGTGGAGATGAAACAAGCACTTCCTCCCCTTCCTTCTCAAGAACAGTAGTTCATATGACTTCATTCAATAAGCAACCATGTCATACATAATCCCAACACTCCATCTCGGAGCCTCAAGTCCTCTGCCATGCTGCAGATTCATCATTTCACACACTGCTTCATTCATTCACAAAAAACTTCAGTGAGTGCCTTCCAGGTATCAAAGTCAGGAGCTGGAGAACAAAGAAATGTTTAAAAGCATCACTGCAAAGTGCTCTTGATAGCATAGAGATGTAAATGAAAGGCTGTGACTGGCCTGCAAGAAGTCTGATACCAATGAGGGTATATGTATCTTGTTGGGAGGGATAAAATGGGAGTGTGCAGTAGTGATCAGAGTAGGCTCCTTGGAGGAGATGTCCGTTTATGTGAGGCTGGAAGGATGGGAGAGAGCTGGTCAGTTAGGAAATGTGTTGAGGAAGTCTGCATAGATGATCAACAGTGCTGAGCTGTGACATGCTCAAGCCCGGAGCCTGCAGAGGTGAGGTGAGGTGAACAAGACCGTGGATCCTTCCTGAAGGGGAGTGAGCCACCTCAAAGACTCAGCCCTTTTCTAGAAGAATCTTGATGCATTGTTGAAGGATGTAAGGCAAGGAAGTGACACAAGCAAATGAGCATTTTAAATAATAAGCCTGGTGCAGCTGGAAGACAGATCTGTGAAGGGAACGGGAAGAAGCTAGGGCCTACTTAGAAATTGTGAGCATAATCCATGCAATAGATGATGGACAATGGTAAGGAGTGGAGGAGAGAGTTGGGTTTGAGAAAATCCAGGAGGATAAAATTGGTAGCATCTACATATCTATTTTAAGGCCATGGTTTAAAACGAAAAAGGAAAAAAAGGACCTATTTCCCTGATTTTCCCCAGTCCTTCCAGTTAGACATGGACTTCCCTTCTGAGTCACAAGATGGCATTTAATTTAATATCTTAATTTTCTCCAGTTTATTTTGTTTTGGCATTGCCCATCTAAAGTTTCTTGAGGGCAAGGCTAGATATCAGTCAATAGTTTACACACTAGTCCTCAATAAACAATTATTGAATAAAAATGCTTTTCTGTTAATTGTTTTAACATGACTTGGCTTACATATGGCTAGTGTTAATTTTGAGTTTTTATTTCTGAGGACAGAAAAGAGAGAGAGAGAAAAAAAATCCCTAAACCTATAGAAACTTAATGGTTTATGAAGCCTAAGTTATTCATAGATCAATAATTAGCTGCATACTCCTTTCTAACAGAGTTCTTTTGTGTTTCCAACTGAAACACAGTGAAGATCAGGGTTTCTATAGTTACAGAGTGAAGTTTCAGAATATATTTATTGCAGTATGAGACTAGAATAATTGAGTGGAAGCAGCTGAACAAAATGTTTCACATCTAACCTCCAATATTAAAGCAATATGTTCCATCGAGCCTCTTCTTGCACCTAACGTACAACAGTTGGGAGGAGAGAAAGAAAGACTTCAGCAATGATAAGTTGCCAAGTGTAAAGCTGTTCCCTGAGAAAAGGCCTGCTCTGAGCTTCTTCAGCTTTTCCCAGTTTGCATCTATGTGTAAATTATTCATATTCATCTCTTCAGATTCTTCTAAAACTGTTGGTAGAGCACTAATTTTATTCTGACTTCTTTGTATTAATTAAGCTAATGATAGAATCTACTGGTTTATTCCATACTGTCAAAATCACCATGGCACGTGGACAATCCATGGCTACCTGACCAGAGGACGCGAATAAATTCTGCATGAATCCCCAAACATACATATGACTGAATTCAGTATTCATACCTGAGTCTGAATAGTTGGAATAGTTTAAAAGAACTATCTAGATTTAGCTTTCTAAGTCTGTTCCCTGGTTTCTAGGGTTATCCTTTTCGGTTTTCTTGAGAGATATCCAAAAAAAGCAAGATGGAGGGTGAATACGCCTGAAATGTCATAACTATGTGTGAAGATGGCATAAAGAATCTCAATGGAGGGTGTGGGTCAACAGGGGCCTGTGGGCATGGAAAGAGGAAGCAATAGAGAGGGCTATTCTGATCACAGTATGTGACCTGAAACACCATCCCTGGATACAATTAGAGCACAAGAGAAAAAGGAATGACAGAGAAGTAAAATGAAGTCTGCTCTGAGGAGCACCACACTGTCAGTGGGAGGGCTATCAGAGAGCGTGAATGAAGATGACCCTGGTCAAAGGACTTTGTTTGCATGTATGCACGTAGAACAATGACACCTGTTGAAACTGGAAGAAGGAGGAAGGGAATAAGGAGGAGAAAGCTACAGAGGAGGGGAGAGGAATAGGATTCATTGTCTGTATGAATGGTAATGTCCCAGTGGAAACTGCCCCCTACTTTGTACAAGTAATATATGCAAATTAAAAAAGGAAATATCTCTGTTAGGCCAATTTTAGAGGTTCATCATTTAAATCATAAGGTTTAACAAGAACAACATTAGGCATGCATACAGCTGCATATACAGATATTTATGTACTATTTTCTGTGAATGGTTATTCCTTTTCAAACAGGTATTAGGAAAAAACTGCCGGACTCAGCAGAAAAGTTCACAAGACTCTTATCTCCAATTAGCTACGAAAAAGCCAGAAGTGGAGCTGTGGCTCAAGTGGTAGAGCTCTAGACTCGAGCAATAAAGCTCAAAGACAGCAGTGAAGCCCTGAGTTCAAGCCCTGGGACTAGCATGTGCACGTGCACACAAGTTATTCTCCATCTCACAACTTTTTAATAAGAAAAGTAGTGTCTCAATGAGGCCTCTTTGGCAAAAATAGCTATTAAAAGCCAAATGCTTTTGTTAAAGAAATGATGGTGGTAGTTTCTGAACACCATCCCTAAGCAGAAAAAGCTAAGCTAGAGTTTAAGACCCTTAATTCAAGCCACTGTCCTGGCCCACACATGCACACACACACACACACACACACACACACACACACAGAGAAAGAAAAGAAAGGAAAGGTAGATATTCACTGGCTCAATTCCAGTGGGAAAGCCTGCTATACTTTTCCTCTCCCTCTTAGACACAAGCAATTAATTAAATTGTTTGAGCAGAAATAATTCTTCCCACCCTAGTCTCATTCCTGACCAAAATACTAAATACAAAGTGGATGGCAAAATTAGAGCAATGAACTTGGACACCTAGTATCTCCAGAAAGCACCCAGTGCTCACACTTGAATGAGCCCAACTGTCTCCCTCACCCTTTTCCCCTATCTCCCATCTGGTGTGTTCAGGTTCCAGCCAATCGCATAGTGGGTCAGGCTTGGAGGCCTGGACAGGGGAACATAATTGGTTCCTCAGAGTTTGCCTGTGTGCTGCAGGCCCTGTGGGAGGGAAAACAGAAATATCATCCACCTTGGTAGTCGCAGGCTTGCTGTGAAAGGTAAGTGACAAATTCTTATGTAAGACACAGGCTGTCATCTGACCACCCAGGTAGTCAGTTACTATGGAACAGCGAAAAGACACCTGGATGAAGAGACTGTGGGAGACATCTTAGTTTGGCTACTCATCAACTATAATCAAAAGGAACAGGGATCCCATGTTATGACCCCAGAGTTTGAAATCATACAAGCCTGGGTCTGCCATTTGCTAGGTTCTGTGACTGAGGGAGGTCCTTCTGCCTTTTAGGATCTCAGTTTTCATGCTAGTAGAATTAGAATAATAACATGCTTTGGAAAATTATGCTGGATGTAAAATGAGGTAATATAAGACAACCATTTAGTACAGAGTCGCACAGAGTCAGGATCAGCATGTGATAGGCGGCTAAGACAACTATGCTACAACCGCTTCCGTTATCACTTGCCATCCTTGTTTGCAATTTTCACCTTGGAAACGGTGCCCTGCTTTAGGTTCTCACTGCCATTGTTACCCCTCCATGCCAGGTGTGACCAAGGCAAGGGCTGTTTTCCGCTGAGGAGAGTCCCCCAAAGTGGACCATCAGATCCGGGAGCCATTAGGAGGAGGAGAGTCCAGACCTTTGCAGTTGCTGATAGAGATTCGAGAAAGATGAATGCTCGAATCCTAGCCTCAGTCCCTGCTGCCAGTGTAACTTTTGCAGGCTAATCAGATTCTCTGGTACTGTTTCCATAACTGGTGAGTGCTCTTAGAGTAGTGCTCCTGATGTAGTGGAAAGACATCTAGTTTCTCTCTCTCTCTCTCTCTCTATATATATATGTATATATATACACACTCTATATATGTAATTTTTAATACATTTTTATTGTAAAAATACTGTACAGAGGAGTTACAGTTACTTGAGCAAGGTAATGAGTACATTTCCTATCAAGCATTGTTACCTCCTCCTTTGTTTTTCCCCTACCATCCCTTCCCTTCCACCTCCACAACTATACTCCCCCCACCCCAGGCTAAATTGTAAAGTTAATTTTTCAACGTAGTGTCTTGTACATCTCATTGTTACAATGGGTCAACTTGTATCGCTATTTAAGCATTTTCCTTTTTCCCTTCCCCTCCCCAAATTAGAGAAGTGTATATACAAGATGCAGGGCACTGACATCAAATACAGTGAAAACAGGTTATACTGTGGAGGAGGAACATACAAAGAAACAAAAAGATCACATGGTACATTATAAATACATTAGAAACAATAACAAGAATGTAAAGTGGTAAAGTTCATTTTTCCACATAATGACTTGTACATCTCATTGTTGCGATGGATCCATACAATTTTGGTGGGAGCGGGGAGGAGGATTGGGTAGGGGGGGTGGGGGGAGGATGGGAAGGGGAAACAAAGGAGGAGGCGACAATGCTTGATAAGAAATGTACTCATTATCTTGCCCGTGTAATTGTAACCCCTCTGTACAGTATTTTCACAATAAAAATAAAAATAACAACAACAAAAACAATAACAAGAAAGAAAAAAACCACTTGTGTCCCTATCTTGGGGTTCACTTCACTTAACATCATCTTATCTGGTCATATGTACATAGCTTTTAAAGACATCTAGTCTTATTCCCAGAAAGACATTGGCCGAGCCTGTGGCTGTCTGTGATCCCAAGGCAAGCTACTTGAGTACTGGCTCTCACTTTCCTTATGGATCTTTTCTGAAAATTAAATTGAAATCAGGTATTGAAAGCATCTGGCACAATACAGAGTGGTAGAGTTAATGTGCCCAGAATGAAATGTGAATGAGGTTGGAAGAGGTGGGACCAGGCAGAAGCGCCAAGGCATAAGTGGGTTATGAGGGCCCTACCCTGATGACAGGATTCATCTATTTAATCATCTACAGACTGCTGGGTTATTGTGAGGGTGCGTCTGTTACAGAAGCCTATTTAGCTCTACCTCTCTTCTGCCCCTACCTGTCAGTAACATCCTTCAAAGCCTCAGGATTCTGCAGTCCCTACAAATGAGACCTTTACTAGATGTGGCTCTGCAACTGGGACCTTCCCACTCTCCAGAACCAGGAGCAAATGAACCTCTAGACGTAATCAGTGACCCAATTGCTGGTATTCAGTTATAGCAACAAAAACCGACTATGTAATGTAGTCAGTGAGATCATCAGATAGAATATATCCTTCCATCCACTGCTCTTTCACCTTTATAATGGAGCCTTTATGGCCTACTCACAGGGTATCTGTGCCACAGGTACCTGCTGAGCCCGCAATCATGGACCAGGTTGGGCCCAGCAGGTGCCTATGATTATATACCCTGACATACCCCAATAATACTTGCTGAATTAGCTTTTGTCAGCTCTCCTTTTTGTATTGTTGGGAGGCAGGATTGCCTGAATCAAGAGCAATTCTGTAGCCTGAATTCGAGTCCCAGTTCTGCCATTTACTAGATGAGCAATTTCAAGCAAATCAAAAAACTCTCTGGGCTTCAACTTCTTCATTTAAACTAAGATCCTACTCATAGGGTTTAAATGAGGTTTAAATAACTGAATAACAGTAAAGGGCTTAAAAGTGGTAACATGTTATGGGAGAATTTGATTCGTCAAATGCGTTCACCATCCTCAAAAAAAGGATGAGGAAAATGACAACAGTCAGAGTTTTTATTTTATAGCTTCATGCTGATGAACCATCAGCACAGAAATATTTTTGTAAAAGGTAAAGCAATACAGGGGCTGGGAAGGTGGCTCAGTGGTAGAATGCTTGCCTTGCATGCATGAGCCTCTGGGTTTGATTCCTCAGCACCAATAAGCAGAAAAAGCCAGAAGTGGTGCTGTGGCTCAAGTGGTAGAGCACTAGCCTTGAGCTGAAGAGCGCAGGGAGAGTGCCCAGGCCCAGAGTTTAGGCCCCACGACTGACCAAAAAAAAAAAAAAAGGTAAAGCAATACATGGATGTTATCCATTATAAACAAATTGTTTAAATAGGGATACAGGTGGACCCATTGCAACAGTGAGATGTACAAGATGTTATGTGGAAAAATGAAATTTACAACTGGAGGGGGCAGGAGATGGGAGGGCAGGGATAGTAAAGGGAAACAAAGGAGGAGGCAACAATGTACTTATTACGTTGCTCATGTAACGCCTCTGTACGGTATTTTCATAATAGAAAAACCTTATTATTATTAATAATAATAATAAAGGTAAAGCAATACATGGATGTTATCCATTATGAGATAGTTCCAGGCCAGCATCAATTTATATACTATACTTAAGAGATAGGTTAAAAAGAAATTAGGAATTAAAATATCTAATTTAATAAATGTATTTAGTTTTTAAGTTGTATTAAAATTTATATATAACAACTCTTTGTGAGATAGGAATACAATTGGTTCTTACTTTCTTGTATTTTTCCCTAAAATTCTTCCTTTTTACAATTATAAATTATTTCCAAATCTGTACAAATCAATAAAAGCAATGTGTTTGAAATAACTAAAACCCTAAGCAGAAACTTATTGATAGCTATAATTTGTGTGTGTGTGTGTGTGTGTGTGTGTGTGAGAGAGAGAGAGAGAGAGAGAGAGAGAGAGAGAGAAAGTATGTGTGTCTTGGGGCCTGAACTCAGGGACTGGGTACTGTTCTTGAGCTTTTGTGCTCAAGGCTAGCACTACCACTTTGAGCCTTAGCTCCATTTCTGGCATTTGCATGGTTTATTGGAGATTAAGAGTCTCACAGACTTTCCAGCCTGGGTTGCTTTGAACCACAGTTTTTAAATCTCAGTCCCCTAAGTATCTAGGATTACAGGTGTGAGCCATTGTGGCTAGGCTATAGCTATAGATTTTATATAAGATATAAATGCATATTAAAATAAACAGGTATATTTTATTTCTGTCAAATTAACATATTTTTCAGGGGGAGAACTATTCTCTTCATAAAATAGAATACAAATAAAAATATCAATATTGCAGATCCTGAACAAAGTTGTTCTCCAGGTAAGCTGTAGTATATCTGTTTTGTGTGTGGGTGTGCGCCAGTTGTGGTTTGAATTCAGGGCCTGAGCCCTGTCCCCAAGCTTTTGTTGCTCAAGGTTAGTGCTTCTACCACAGTCTCGTGGACTTTTTTGTTTAGACTGGCTTCCAACCATGAACCTCAGAACTCAGCCTCCTGAGTAGTTAAGATTACAGGCATGAGCCACCAGTGCCCAGCTTCTAGTATGGTTGTTAAGATGAAGTGACTCATAATAGCCAGTTCAAGAATAGCCCTAGCAGGTAGGAAATCATCCTTTTAGGAAGAATAGCGCTGAAAGTGTTTCTCAGGGCAAAAATGATAAGCAAGTGGACAAATGAATGACTAATTGGTTACAATCACAGAACCTGAGGGTTTAAAAGGGTCTAAAATATCATAGTGATATTTCCCATTCAAAGTTTGAATTCCTTTGCTATTTTCCCAGGCTTCCCATGCCATGTATAGACAGTAGAAGGATTTCAACTAGCAGAAGAATTTCTTTACTACCAGTGAGCTGAAATTTATTTTGGGCATTGCTTTCTTTCCTCTATCCCACTTTGACCTGTGGGGCCATATCAACAAGGTGGCCCCTTCTTCTACACAATAGCGTCTCAGTCAACTCTGATTAGTTCAATCAGAACAACTCAAAATGCATGTGGTCTTGACATTTTTAAATCTGAAGGAGGTGGAATGGAAAAACAGAATATAAATAAACTAAGAAGCACTGCTTTGAATATCTAATCCTTCAAAAACAACAACCCCCAAACCTTAACACGGTAAGCTATAATGCAAAGTCAGACTGACCTCACTAAGTACTAAGGCAATTAGGAGACCAGAGGTTTAAAGAGACCCAGAGAAATACATGTAAATGGGAGGTCCCTAGACAAAACTAGTGATGAAAAGGATTCTTGGAGTTTCAGCCAGTTCAACTGTGACATCTCATTGAAGATAGAGAGAGCTAGTAAACAGCCAGACCTGCTTCCTGTCCCACCATCCCTCCCCCTAACCCTCCTGCCACACCAGTCCCCAGCTGTGTTAAGCAGAGGTTGATGGAGACCAAGCTTCTTTTTATGCACTGCAGTTGTATCATAGTTATCTTTGGGACATAATTTACACGTTTCCACTATAGTTTTTCTTCATCCCTCTATCCCTTTGTATGGAAGGTCACCTGAATACTCAGCTTCACACAAGGGATTTTTTTTTATAAAGGTGTTTGGGTCTGGAGTCACACAGATGGGAGCTCCTCAAGAAGCCAGTGGCTAGGGATAAGTTGAAGACTGTTTTGGATAAGCAAGATTGTGTAGTACATCTGTTTTCTAGCAGAAAGTCAATTTCTGCTTCATGGACAACATCTTCCTGTCAAAATTGTATTTGTGGGGAAGAAAGTGAATCTGGTGAGGATGCTTATATGCTGTGAGCAGAAATGAAGGCACTAGTCATTGCTGAAGAATACTTGTGATTTTCAAATCAGAACTGAAGAAATGTTTGGATGACACAAGGCTTGATGCTGTGACGTAGAAGATACTCACATAGTGCTATCTGAACGACTAATGGGGACCGTGTAAAGACAGGAAAACATACCAAGCTCCTATATGACAGCTCAGATCCTACACACCTGAATTTGGGATGGAAATTTTCATCCATTTTGAAAGTAGGACATGGCCAGGGCCTTAGCTTAGCAAATCAACTATTTAATTTGGCTTCCATTTTGCCTTCCTATAAATGCATTAAAAAATGGAAAACCCCTGGAATAAACTCACTTGAGTATGCAATCAGCAGTACGGATGACTGATGAGCAGAACCATGCATATGAGGTTGCTGAGGGAAGTTTTAGAATCTTTTTCTTCTATGCCTTGCTACTGTCACCAAGTTTGGTAAAAGCTTAACACAAGCAGAATGACAAATTCTTATTCACATCACCTGTCACCACTGACAATTACCCTCCAGACGGTTGATGCTCCTTGAATAGTTATTTTGTGAAGTTTCTCCCAGCATCCTTCACTTCCACGCCAGCTAGCTAAGAAGCAAACACAGCCATACACCACAGGCATTCTTACCTCCGTTTGCTGGGGATGACACCCATCTCTTCACTGTCTCCTTCCAGTGTGACTCTCCTGGCTTGCCACCACTCATCGTCGGAGGCGTTAATGACGTGGAGAATATCTCCATACTTAAAACTAAGTCCTTGACTTGGCAGCCCACTGTCCTTGCTCTTGTCGTAGTCAAACATTGCTCTGAAAGAAGTGACAAGACAGCATGATGAGTGATCTCATGGTTAGCAAGTCCTTATAGAAAATTTATGCTTTTGAAGGTTCCCATTTGCCCTGAGGCACCATCACTATTTGATATCAACTCCAGCGGCACTTCCTGGAATACAGTCCACATTCTCACTGTTTGGGCCACAACTGAGATCAGTTCTTTCTTTCCCTTGCTGGCAATAGTGATGGATTACAGATTCCTAACACACGGGTCCCAAAAACTGGGTCTGCTTCCATTGTATAGATCATTACATGTTACAAGGCAATAATCAGGAGCAACAAATAATGAATTTACTACCAGGGATATTTTCCCCTCATTACAGTCAGTGTTTAAAAAAATATTTGTATTATCTTTAGTTGTATGAAGGAGTTGCCATTCAATAAAACAGTTCATGATATAATGTATCTTTTTAAAAAACTATATATTTATTTTAAAGATACTGCACAGAGGGGTTACAGTTACCTGAGCAAGGTGATGAGTCCATTTCCTAGTGAGTATTGTTATCTTGATCCAACATTCTCTCCCATCTGTCCCAAACCTTCCCTTCCCTCACTTTTCTAATTTTGTAGGATATACATTAGGTTTTTGACTGCATTTTCCCTCTGCTTCTCTTCATTCTCCTCTTCCCCACTTCCCCTGACCCATCTTACTCCTTTCAAGTATCTGTTTCCTGGTATTTATCTTTGCTGAACTTTGATTAAGCCTTTCTATGAAATTACACTGTTTGACTTCTCCCTGAAATCTACTGTATTTCAGTTAATACCTTGTGTACAATTGCATACTATCCAAAGTATTTACTTCTGTGTTTACAAACTAATTCTAGAGGTCTGGACGCAGACTCACATGGTAGTGTCTGCCTAATAACAGTAAGGTATTAAGTTCAAACATAGTACTGGTTTCCAATAGGAGTGGTAAGCACCTGTCTAGCAGGTATAAGGCCTTGATTTCAACCCCAATATTGCACCAAAAAAGTTCTTGAAAAGAGATATGAAATGTAGAGAAGCACAACTTTCTGGATAAAAGCGCTTTTATATTATAAACAAATCCTCTCAGAAGCATCAGCTTGTGGAACTCAAATCTTTGTAATAGGGAAATACAGAAGTGTCTGCCCAGTGCCTATGATTCTTCTAGACAATCAAATATTAGACCATCTCTGATATTGGATAGCTGATGGGGTGAATATAATAACCTGAATAAAGTCTTCAAATGAAAGAAATATACACACCTCCCACATATATCTGCATATAGGTAAGATAATAATTAAATGGACAAAACCACAAATAGTTCTGCTTCCATAAATTGCCAGGCCTTGTTCATCACTTTAGTTATTAATGAATTCTAATTCTTGATCCTTGTTGGAGAACACTTGCTAAGCCTTTACTAGGGTCAATGTACTGCAGGAGTTGGAAACATAATAAAAATGATGAATGAGCCCTGATTGATTAGCTGTTTGTCTTATGGAGATAATTTATTCCAAGTCTTACACTCTCTACCTGTGCCTGTATCTCCCACTCTCAAATTCCACCACTACACACATACAACACACATCTTCCAAGGAGAAGCAATTTTACCACCTCTCTATTTATCCCTTTGATTCCATTCTAAGAATTTCCTTGGAGTGTAACCACTACACATGGAAAGCAAGCTGAATTTAAGTGAATAGATTTTTCTAAAAGTACTGAGAACCAAGGGTGGCTCCTTTCTTTCTTCTTTCTTTTTTCCTCCATCAAAGAAATGTCACATCTGCTGTCTTGGTAACAAAAGAAAAAAAAGGGATGAAGACAGCTTCTAAGTTTCATATACTGAATTACAACCCAGCCACTTCTTCTATCTCTATGTGATGAAATTCAGGGAGAGTTTTTGTGCTAAGCTCCTAGAATAAATTATTTCCTTTTGACCATTTACCATCTCTCCGAAGGACTCAGACAGAAGGCCAAGCCCAGAAAAGGGAAGGGAAAGATAGGAAAAGCTCCTAACAGACAGTGTTGGCAGTGATAAGATATGGATGAATGAACTCTCCTGAGCAACATGGATGCAACATGGATTCTAACAGCTATCTCTACATAAAGTTGTTAGCATGTATGCAAGACTAGTGGCCAGGGATGTAGGGAAATAGAATAGAAAGAGTCAGGGGCCACACTTGTGGGGAGATGTCCTTTTCTCATGATGCAACTGTGATTATCTGAGGATGCTGTTTAGTCTCTGGCTGGCCTCACGCCCCACATCTGACACAGTGATGATGACAACAGTAACTTCATTGTGGACTTGTGTGGGTGAGGTGTTACATAAGGTGTTAAGTTCTACGCACATACAACCAGAGCCAGGCACACAGGGACAATGAGTAACTGAACTACTTTTCTCTTTTGAGTGGTTACCAAGAAAACTACTTTCTACAGATTCTACTGTGAAAAAAAGAAAAAAAAAGTTAACAATAGTAGGCCTGAGACCACTCTCCTTAAAGACATCTGTTGAAAGACCTATGGCCACCTAATCTTTGATAAGGGAGCCAAATTCATCAAATGAAGATAGACAGCCTCTTCAACAAATGGTGTTGGCAGAATTGGCTGTACACATGTAGAAAACTGAAGTTAGATCCTTATATATCCCTCTGCACCAGCATCAACTCCAAATGGATCACAGACCTTGTGGTAAGAGCAAAGACCCTGAAAATATTATAGGAAAGGATAGGGGATACTCTAAGGCTTCTTGGCACAGGTAGAAGCTTCCTAAACTGTATAAATCATGCCACAGGCCAAAACACTTGTCTTCCCTCTGGGAGTTTGTAGCAGTGCCATGTTCCAGGCAGAGGCTGCCTGTGTGACAGGCCCCAGCCCCAAGATCTAGTTCAGTGCCCCTCATTCGACTTCCATTCAACCTCAGAGATGGTGGTGGTGAGAACCAAGGCTGAACCTGCTGGTAACAGTCATGGTTGACACAAACTACAAGGTTATTAGGCAGCCCGGTCCATAGCAGGCATTGTTTTCCTTATTGCCATAACAACCTTAAAGGTATAAATGTACAGGCTGCATGCACACCCATGGAGAATAAATATAAAAAGAAGTCTGCTTGACTCCAAAATTCTCACTTGTGGCCATGTTATCATATGGCTCAATTTTCTTCCCTGTCACCTTCTGATGGTGACCTGGCAGTACCCAGGGCCTTACACCTTCCTGTCAAAGGTGACCCTCTTCTTCCACCATAAATTCCTGGATCTTCCAACCCTAACAGTACTTGAACTCCAGGTCCCTGGGGGAGTGGAGACAGAGAAGCCATCAGGAAAGCTGCCATATGGTCGCCAAGAAGGGACACACAAGGGTGACACTACCTGGATTGGTGACTTTTTAACTGTGGGCTTGAACAAGTTATTTAAACTCTCTGGATCTTCTTTTTTCCTACTTTTAAAATTGGTCTAACATTAGCTAACTTAAAGAGGAATGGTGAGATTCAATGAAATAATATATGCCAATGTATGCAACACTAACTTGGCACTTGAAGACGCTCAATAAATATGAGTTATGATTACAAAGAGAACTGTTGTTGCTTTGAAAATGACTGAGCTTTGAACCCATGAGATCTAGGTCTCAGTGGGGCCATTGGCAGCCATCTTCAGGACTCTTCAGATTTCTCAAATACCTCTAGCTTTGGGACTGGATGCAATCTGGGGCACAATGTAGATGCTCAAGATTGGGAAAAGCTATTGGGAAGCCTCACATATCCAAAGCACTTTTTTCTCTAGTCTCAGCCTTCCCATGTGCAGAGGGGGAGGCAGCGATGCTGTCCCCTGTGATACCCAGGAAGCCAGACATTCATCCTGCAGTGCCCCATTCCATTCTCAAGAGTCCTTGAAAGGGGAGTTTCTCACTCCAGCCTGTAGTAACAGATGTCCTCAGTAAGAAGCTCAGCAGCCTGCTCGTTCTGTGAGCTTTACTTATCTTGGACACTATGCCCTTCTAGGATTATACTGACTCAGACTTGTCAGGTTCCTGAAACCAAGCAGCTGACACATTTCAGCAGCTTCTGGCTCCTCAGGATATTAATGGATCCTCACGTCTGGGGAAAAATGCTACCGTGGCCCTATCACCTAATTTAAAAAAGCAATAAGCTGTTTTTAATCTGCTTGATGTGCTAATTCATCACAGCAGCTTTTCTAAAATGCCATTAAGACTCACACTTTCCACCCAGGGTGCTTTTAACAAAGTCCATTAGGCAAGTAGAATTTGACAGGAGTAATGCCACAGCTTTCTGAGCCCTCCCATTCTTCTTGAACTTCACTGCCCTCTGAGGAGGTCTAGGAAGGAAGGAGTTGCTCATCCCTGTGGCTGGGTAGCATGGCCGTGAGATCCCCAAGCACCCTACTGAATATTGTGGATTACAGGCCTGGTGAGGTGTTAAGTACTTTATATCTACTTGTCTCCTTCAGGTTGCTAAGTAGGCAAGGGAGCATAGGGGTTATATGATAGCTCTTGAGACACAGAAGATCTGGGTGTAAGTCTCAGTTCCTGGCTGTGAATTTGGGACATTCTTCTTAACCTCTCCAGTGGTCATTTAACCATTGATGATTATTCTCTCATCTGGAAATGCAGACAAAGATGGCATGAACTGCAAAGAGGTTGCTGTGGAGATAATGTGCGTAGAGTGACAATGATGAGTAAATATATTATTCTTTCTGTCAATTTTGCCATGTAAACATTTTTTTTTGGTTCATGAAGGAAATGAGACTCAAAGAGCTGAAACATAAACAGCAAGTGGCAGAAAGGGGTTCAATGCCGATAGCTGTGGCTCTCTCAGAAGTTTATGTTCCTGCTTGTGGGATTTTCCTTGGAATTCCTGCCAAGGAATCTTGTTCTTAGGGCTTTCCCCTAAGGATCTGATTGTGACACTTATGATAACAACATAGACTCAAAGAGGAAGTCAAAGGTAGTTTACTGAATGCATACTCTCTTCTTATAAATACCTGGTAATGCATGAATCAGCC